TCTATTTTCAACTTTTTGAGGAACCTCCGTACTGTTTTCCAGAGTGGCTGCACCAGCTTGCATTCCCACCAACAGTGTAAGAGGGTTCCCCTTTCTCTGCATCCGGGAAAGAGAGAATCTTAAGCAAGCTCCACGCCCAGGACAGAACCCAACCCGGGCTGGATCTCATGACCCTGAGATCGTGACCTGAGCCGAAATCAAGAGTCAGATGCTTAATGGACTGAGCCACTCAGGAGCCCCAGGCCCTTTTTCTGTTTAGCTTTGCCATTTTACATTTTACTGTGTGTGTTCGCTTCTTGAACTCTTGCTAGTAACTTGGCCAATTTCGTGAAGTCTGGTTTTTGTTTTGTTTGTTCTTAATGTATTCTGGGCCCGCGGGTATTTTTACTTGGTTACCATGCTTTCTTGTGTATAATTTGCTTTTTAACTTGCCTTTTCTACTTTTTTTCCACCAAGCAGCGCTCTCATTTTATTAGCATTCCCTTATCAAAAATTGGGTTGGATATTATATTTGAAAATGCGTAATTATGTTGTATATACATAAGATTTGCATACACCTATTCCCTGTTGTTTATTTAGAATGCAATTCAAACCTATTTCTTAAACATTTTGTTTCTTGAACTACTTGTTTTACTCTAATAATAATAATAGTAAATGTTTGTTGAGCTCTTGCTGGGACTGAAATTCTGTAGCACCTCTCTTTATACTGTAAGATTTACATTATTACCATTTATGATAGCCTTTGTGTGAATGGACTGTATTCATCTTTGTAACCCCAGCACTGTTCCATAGTAGACATTCAATAATTATTCTTTTGTGAATGGTCTTTGAGCTATGATCTACAAGAGCATTTCTGCAAGACTTCTGCAAACAAATAACCGGACTCTCAGTCAGGAACTGTGAAGTGTTCATCCCTAACTGTATTCCTGTGAGTAACAACCAACATAAGTTTCTGCTCTAGGCTTCTCAAAGTAGCCTAATGTCTAATCCTCACAAGTATTCCTTTCTGAGTTTCCCTAATACAGACAGACTGCTTTCTCCTGGCTCACATAGCCAGCCATTACTGCTCCCCATGCTGCCTGCCCTAGAGAAACAGACTCTGCCGTCTGCTCTTCTTCTCTATTGGAAGGATTGTGCATCACTATTAGGCGCTGAAATAAATTATTGTCGAGTGTGGCTCCATAGTCTTACTTTAACACTCTTTAGCATCACTCCATAATGACCACATCTTTAGCACTAAAGGATGAAACCTGAGAAGGTAATACAGACCCCCGCCCTTCTTTCCGCCTTACCTTTTACAGCCACCGCTGCATCTCAGGGCTTCACTTGGAAAAGTATAGGCATACACTCTATTTTTTCTTACACACCTTCGGCAGGTGATCCTTTCAAAATGACAGTAGTAAGAGACAACAAAAGACATAAATATGAACAATGTAAGTCTGATTCACCCTGTGTATGTTGCTGATCCTGACGTAGGCTCCCAGGATTTGTGGTCCCGTCTTTTCTAAATTTGCTATGCTATCCCCAAAAGGTAGTTGTTTTCATGGGAGCTTTGCCTAGGCTGTTTACTTTCAGCTCTGGCCTGCTGCTACCTGGAAGTCTGCATCACTTTGCAAAATAGGCAAAATATTTTACACCTTACTTAACTAGCTAGTTGACTTGGATGTCTGCTTTCTAATTCAGCCTGATCTTACTCTATGCAGTTTTTTTAAAAATCTGTAAAAAATGGTGTTCATGTCATTTGGGCAACTAGCTACTTAAAGAAAATGTATGAAGTAATGATATTGTGAATTGATAGTAATTCTGTTTATGTTGGTAGATATAGTTCTCTTTCTCCTGAAGAGTGTCACCTCTGATTAAGTACTACTATGGTGTAGTCTTTTATTAGATGTTTAAGTTTCGAGAGAAACTTTAATGAGGCCACACTACCTACCTGTTGATGTCAGTCAATTCATTGTCCTTAGCTTTTAAGTATCTTAAACACAGAAGTGAAGGAATTACCCATAGTCACATCACTGATGGTTTATGATAAAAAATGTTTTGAGAATTCTGAGTCCATTGGGTAAAAACTGATATAGTAAGGCCTTAACCATGTTTTCAACACTGGAAGACTTTTTTTCTCATCATCAATGTTTATCAGTGAATGTCTGAGATTTGCCAAATGCACAGCCTTATTAGAGGATCTTTTCCTTAATTTGAAAGGTAAACCAAAGTATACATATCTTCCTTTTCCAATTGATCTTTTAAGATGGATATGTTGAAACAGATAGACATCTATAGAGATTCATAGATAGGACAGATTTTCCCAGGATACCAATACAGAAAAGGTAGGGCATCCTAAAGGGAAAAAAAAAAAATGTTTACCATAATTTGAGGGTCAGTGTGTTTACTATTTTTTAATGTGGATTTATGAGGAGGAAGAGAGAAATAAGAGTACTGAAAGAATAAGCACTTAGGAGGTAAATGAAGCCAGCTGATCCCCTGGGGCGGAAAGAAGAAGGGAAAAGGAGATGATATATCAGAGAACTCACTAATGGTAGGCAAGGCCATTCTATGGGTGTTAAAGGTTATACTGTATAAGAGAAATGCTACAGCGCGTTCCTGTCTCAGCTTCATGTTTCTTGATCTTGGCACTACCCTGACCCCTGTCCTAGAACTGAATGTATGCAATCTTACCCCCAGCTTCCATGGGACTGAATGAAGAGCAGAAAGAATTTCAGAAAGTGGCCTTTGACTTTGCTACCCGGGAGATGGCTCCAAACATGGCAGAGTGGGACCAGAAGGTGGGAGTTTTCCTTGTGGCTAGACATTGCAACAAAGGCCTCCTGTGGTGACCCTGTCTTCATCCCCTTTTAGTCCTAACTGTTCCATGTTTATTCTCCTTGCACAACTCTTACTGCAAATGAAAGTACTGGTAATGTTGTGATTCCTATCTTCATCTTGTAGAGACTAGTTTTGTTTTTGTTTTTGAATTGTACAAAGATTTAGACAGTCTTAAAACCAAGGCAATTCTATGGATAATTAAAAGGAACTTTAATGCTAGAAAACCAGTGCTTATTGAATGCATTTTAACTGCTACTATAGATAACAAATAGCCTATTAAGTTAATATATACACTCTCCCAAATGCAAACATCTTAATCCCTCATTGTGCCCTTTAATGAAAAGTCCATCTGTGAATCCCTTACTGATGACCCTGTTCTCTTTTGTACGTAGGAGTTGTTCCCAGTGGACGCAATGCGGAAAGCTGCTCAGCTCGGCTTTGGGGGAATCTACGTACGAACAGATGTAGGTGGGTCTGGACTGTCACGGCTCGATACATCTGTCATCTTTGAGGCCTTGGCTACAGGCTGCACCAGCACCACAGCCTATATAAGCATCCACAAGTGAGTGCCAAGCTTGGTGAGCACAGTGAAGTTCTCATCGGGTTGATTGGGAAATTTCAGGAAATTTTGGAAAAGTTCATCTTTTCAAGTTGATTGTCATTGAGGAACCAGACAGGGCACCTGGGTTGCTCGGCTCAGTCAGTTAAGTGTCCGACTCTTGATTTCAGCTCAGGCCGTGATTTCAGGGTCATGGGATTGAGCCCTGTGTCACGCTCCACACTGGGCGTAGAGCCTGTTTGGGATTCTCTCTCTCCCTCTGCTCCCCCCATTCCTTGCGAGCACATGCACTCTCTCCCTCAAAAAAAGAAAAAAAGTTCACTCTAGGTCTGCTGCTGCCTTTTGAACTTGAATCTGCCATCTTGTATGTTGCTTAGAAAATAAGGACTGTCCGCCTTCTCTCAAATCCTAGATTGAGCTGAAGCAAACAGACATCTCCAGGAGAGTGGTCAGGGCCCTGTTCCCGTCTTCCTCAACCCCTAGGATGAAGCCCCCAGGAATTTGTCAAAGTACATATAACTTTGATTTTTAGGGAACTCATTTAACCTAGAAGCGGCATGAACATCCAAGTGAGAAACATTTTGGCCCTGGTTATCTCTGGGTAGTACGTGTTCCACGAATATGTTTTAACCCAGGCCTTTCCTTTAAAGTCGAATCTTCTCAGTGGCGACTTTTCTCTTCCCACTCTCTCTTCCTCTTCACTGTGCTTTGCTGCCTGTGCTTTCCTTCCCATCCCTCCCCCCTCAGATTTCCTCTTCTCCATATTAACTCTGTCATTATCTTTTCTTCTTGGGGTACCTGTCAGCATGTGTGTCTGGATGATTGATACCTTTGGAAGTGAGGAACAGAGGCACAGATTCTGCCCACCGCTCTGTACCATGGAGAAGTTTGCATCCTACTGCCTCACTGAGCCAGGTGGGTTTGCCGTACCGCCAGCAAGACGTAGCAGGGGATGCTGCTCAGGCGAAGTTACTGAGCACTCTCTTGTCCCCTCGATACGTACAACCCTTGTTTACCACGAAGTTGGGTCATGGAGGAACACAAGCCTAAGAGGGCTGTAGGGCAGAGTCTCTCCAGGCTGCAGATTGGAGCCTCCTTGTACTCAGTGTGCTGGGAGATGGAAAATGGTCTCATTGCTGTCCACAGTTTTCACCAAATACAGAGAGTTCCTCCAGCTGTCTGCATTTTAAAGTGTGAAACGCTGAACTGTTGGTTATAAGGGAAGATTTCCTTGGAAGTGGAACCGTTCTGTGGCCCCCTTACTTTCACTGACTTTCTCTCCCACCCTCTCTGCTTCCTTTTGATCCCTGCCTTAGGAAGTGGTAGTGATGCTGCCTCCCTTTTGACTGCAGCAAAACGACAAGGAGATCATTACATCCTCAATGGTTCCAAGGTACCAGCATGCCCACCTTACAGAACACCTTAGAGATTGTGCCCATCTTCATGCTGACATTGCCTGGATCCTTGCTATCTGCGAGTTAATGTTTCCTAGGAGTTTTACACATTGAATAGAGAACCTCTGACCTATTTCCCTTTATTTACCTTCACTTTCTCACTCTTCTGATCTGAGTTCAGATAATCTCGCTCCTTTCTGTCTGTCCTTTTTATAGTCTCATCAGCTAGATCCCTGATTCCCCAGTCAGCACAGGTTCTTTTTACCTCTCCTTCTTTTCTCTGTGCCATCATGCCTCTTAGTGTCCTACTGTCAGAAGGACTCTGATTGCTTTCCCAGGTGTTAGGCTCCAGGGACGGATGTGTTTCCTGATCCCTGTACACCCCCTCTCCAACCCTCAGGCCTTCATCAGTGGTGGAGGTGAATCAGACATCTACGTGGTCATGTGCCGAACAGGAGGGCCAGGCCCCAAAGGCATCTCTTGTATAGTTGTGGAGAAGGGGACCCCTGGCCTTAGCTTTGGCAAGAAGGAAAAAAAGGTGAGTGGCTATTGGACAGGAAACAATTCAAGTTCAAACAATCCAAGAGTCTGCCACCTGCCAGACCAACCTCTGTTCTAGGTAAACTATTCCTTGAAATACCACCTCCGCTTTTGGTCTGTGTTTCTTATTCAGCTTCTTATTTTGGCACATTCCTTTATCCCAGGAAGAAATACTTACAGATCTGGTGGTGACTACTCGGATGAAAAGCATATGGGCCACTTTTCTTCTTTAAATAAAAATAAAATAAAACTCACTGGAGATGATCGTGAGTGTTTCAGTCATGTAAGAGGGAGAGTGTTTCCATAGGTGCTTTGAAAAGACGTTCCTAGGATATAGCAATCCCATAGCCAGACCATGAATAGTAGAAGTGTGATTCCATAGCTGTAGCTGGTGGTAAGATGAGACCCATTCAGATTTGTAAGGCCGGGGGACCAGAATAATCATACCCCTCCAATATATACTGTTATAGTTAGGATTTGGGGGGAGAAATCAGGTAATGAAATGACCCCTAACTGTACTCTCCTTTCATAGCTCCTAGGGTTTCCATATTTCCCCTCATGAGCTTTCCCGATACTTTATAAACTGCAAAGAGGTAGAGGTTTTAGTGCCCCTTTTCATTTATTAGTATAGTAGATTTTTACTAGATTCCTACTATGCAAAGCATGCTGGCTCCTGGGGTGAAGGAGGATACAGAAGTTACTCCTAGCCTTATTTGAAATTACAAGACACATTACGTTGTCTTATCTGTATAAAGTATATAAGCTGTAATTGTGGCATATAACTTGTATATGTGATATGTAAGATATATAGCTGTAGAATATCTTAATTCTAGGAATGTCTCCTTTGGGTCATACAACATGGACTGACTTACATAGTCTGACACATAATTTTACAGGATCGAGTTATACCAATTTAGGTTGTTTGTGCTTATAAAGGCAGTGATGATTGTTTCAACACACATAGGTAGTATCCATCTCAGTATTTGTGATGTCTGTTGACAGGATTACCAAAGCTGTCAAATTTCGTGCCTAGAGAAAAATCACAAATAAATTCCAGAAACAAAAAGTATATCTTTTTTTCCTTTCATTTTCTGTTTTCTCTCCCTTTTAAGTGTATACATTTATCTTTCTTTTTTGTTTTCTTTTTTAATTATTAGTTTTGCTTTATATATTTTTTAATATAAGGGAAATTTGGAAGGACACCTCTGTATTTATTTGACAGCTGGTGAGTGCCCACTATGTACCAAGCATTTGTAAACAGTAGGGGTAGAGCAGTGAACAAAGACAAAGCTCTGCCCTCATAGAGTTTACCTGTCAGCAAGCAGGGATGGACAACAGACATGTAAATAAGCAAGGTACCTTCTGGTAATGCTCTGTGCTACAAAAGAGATAAAGGAGATTGATAGGACACTGAGGAGAGCTTGAAAGCGTCTGTAATAGGGCTGAACTCCCAGAGGTCATGACTTTTGAGATGAGATCCAGAGTATAGAAGAAGCAACATAAGAAGAATTCTGGGCAGAGACAACAGTAGATGGCCTATTGAGGGAACAAAAAAAAAGTAGTGAGCAAAGAAGAGAACAGCATGGGATGAAATTGGACAGGCAGGCAGGGGCTCGTAGAAGAGAAGAGTCACTGCCCTGAATGCCACCCTGTTGGGCAGCCATACAGTCCCTGATTTTTGCCAGATGGGGTGGAACTCACAGCCAACGCGCGCTGTGATCTTTGAAGATTGTGCGGTGCCCGTGGCCAACAGAATTGGAAATGAGGGACAGGGCTTCGTCATTGCCATGAAAGGACTGAATGGAGGGAGAATCAATGTTGGTGAGAACACAGCAGGATGGGGCAGGGAGGTGTAGCCGGGCTGGGGCAAAGCAGCACTGTCCTGGCTCAGTTGAAATGTTGGCACTCTTCCTTTCTAGCTTCCTGCTCCCTAGGAGCTGCTCATGCTTCAGTCATCCTCACCCGAGACCATCTCAGCGTTCGGAAGCAGTTTGGAGAGCCTCTGGCCAGTAACCAGGTAATTTCCCAGAGGCCCCTGCATTTGCTTTCCACTCTGCCTGCAACCTGCTCTGTGGCCCACATTCTCTCGGAGAGTGAGGCTATGAGTCCTCACTGGAGTTTTGCCCCCATCTTAGAACTTGTGTTCTAATTTTATCAGTAATCTTTTTCACTGAAGCGCAGGGCAAACAAAGTAGGCTTAGAACTCACAAGGCAGTGCATTTGCTCTGTAGAAGAGGCAGGGACTTTGAAGCTTGGGGTCAGTTAGAAAAGGTACCTCATGAGAGGTGTCTTATAGAGGGCCCCAGATCAGGTGCTGGTCTAGGCCTGTCTGTCTTGTCTGGTTCTCTTATCCCCTGTTGCTGTAGTACCTGCAATTCAAACTGGCTGATATGGCAACAAGGCTGGTGGCCTCACGGCTGATCATCCGCAGTGCAGCAGTGGCTCTGCAGGAGGAGCGGGAAGATGCAGTGGCCCTCTGCTCCATGGCCAAGCTCTTCGCTACAGATGAATGCTTTGCTGTGCGTGATGATGTCCTCTGGCTGTCTTGGGTGGACAAGGAGCAGCTGCTAGGTCCAGGGATGTTGAGAGCCATTAGTCTACCCCTGGGGCTTAAGCATATAAATGAACTCATGAGAGGCCTGCTTGGGAGCTCTCAGAGCTGACTTTTTACCTGCTCCGTGCCATTACACACTCCATTCTGTCACTGTCATTTGATTGTGTTCTAGATGAGACACTGCCCTTGAAGGAAGGTTCAGAGCAGCCCAGTGCCTCTTGCTCAAATTTAGCACTGCGCTCTGTTTAAAATGTCAAGGGCAGAGCTATTTCCACATGAGGCTACATTGCCACTAGATGGCATTGTAGGTAGCCTCACATAATCCCAGCCAAAGTGCTTGTGGGCAGCTTGTCCCCTGCAGATAATAAAGCAATAAAGGCAGAGCTCTCTGAGTTGCCTGCCTGGTGGGAACTGACAAGTTTAGTAGGTAAACCTACCTTGTTGTCTAACCACACAGAATACAGAGCCCCTCTTCGGGCTGGGGGCTGGTTATCCGTAGGTTGTTCTTCCTCGTATTAGTTTACAGCGGGCTGCCAGATTGGGGGCTGGGGTAGAAAGAGAAGCCATATGTTCCACAGTCTTCCCCCCAGTCAAAGATGTCTAATCCCTGTCTCCCTGAAGATCTGCAACCAGGCTTTACAGATGCATGGAGGCTATGGCTACCTGAAGGACTATGCTGTTCAGCAGTATGTGCGGGACTCCAGGGTCCATCAAATCCTAGAAGGTAAAAATTGCCAGAGCTGTTCTCCAGAATGCTTATAGGATCACCACTTTCCTCAGCCTGTCTGTCCCCATGCTGACTGGTTCTGAGGGTTCCATCAGGCCCTGTCTGTCTTTTGCCTTCCTCCTAACCCGGCGCTGGAAGTGTTTGTGGGTGTCATACAGAGCACTAGCTTGGGAGTCTGGAGGCTCTGCTTTGTCACCATGGGTAAGCTATCAAATCACTCCATTTCTGCTCTTTTTCTTTGCAAATTTTAGAGAACGCTCAAACCAGATAATATATGGGAAAGCATTTTGAAAACTTCAACAGTAACTCTTGACTTTTATGAAGTACTTGGTCCTCAGGGATTCCAAAACTTCTGTACAGGGCAAATGTAAGCTACTTGGATCACAAGCAACCTCTATAAATTGAAGATATCTCTATCAATATTGCTAATGGATTTTTCAGTAAACTAAATCATATGATTATTTTCTCGGCAATCACAGACTGGATTAGGCTGGAAAATGTGTAAGCTGCCGGAGGCTGGCTCAGAGCATGGCCTTTTCCACGCTCCACACCAGTGCAGAAGTCTTGAAATTACATGACTCTTGTCTCAGCGGGTGTAGGCAGACAGGAGTGGTTATCCTGTAGGAGAGCCAGATGGGGCAAAAGCTTATCTAAGTAACTTTCAGTGATGCAATGTTGGGCTGCTTCCACGGAGGCACAGGAGAGAGCTGTGGGTGTTGGTCTCTCTGTCATTTTCAAAGCATTCTTGAACCTGAGGAGGTGTTAGAATCACCCAGAGGGCTTGTGAAAACAGATTGCTAGGCTCCACACCCAGAGGTTCTGACTCAGTGGGTCTTAGGTAGGCCTGAGAATTTTGCATCTCCAACAAGTTTTCAAGTGAGGCTGCAGCTGCGCATCTGGGAAGCACGCTCTGAGACCCACTGCTCCGGTGGTATGTCCAAATCACAGGCTTCTAAAAGTTAGTCTGCTTTCTTCTGCAGACCTTATCCCTGAAATATGTCAATGAGCTCAGTCACTGGTGCTCAAGTTCCCCATAGGCTTTGTCCTCTGATTATTCCTGCAGTTACTTCCTTACCCAGCATTTATGAATGACAAGTTTAGTGGGTAAACTTTGTTGTCTAACAACATGAGACTTCACTTTTATTCTGACTCTGCCTTTTAACCTTGTAAGAAGAAATGGGAAAAGCCAGGTACGTTTATTTGAGGCCATGCCATCATCCACTTACAGAAAATTTGGGGCACTGGTCTCACTTTGGTATCACTTTGTTTCATTGTGAACTTTGTTATAGGATAAATCTGCAAATTCAGATTTGATTTTATTTGAGGTGTGTGATTACTCATTCCTCATGGGGGTTCATATTTCTCTTTGCATTAAAAGCCACTGTAAAAATGGAGCAAGAAGTTGACCCCTCCTTTCAGGGAAAATATTTTTGTCTGTTCTTTTAAAATTCACTTTTCTGATTACCAAAGAAATTGGTATATTTATTGTTGAAAGCTTATAAAGTATAGGAAAAGTAAAAAAAAAAAAAATCATTCATGTTTCCACATTCAGAATTAATATTTTGGATTCCTTTTATATGTACGTCCAAAAAATCTCCTTTGGGGCTTTTTCTGTACTTTGTAGGTACTTTTTTTTTTTTATGTGAAGTATAGTTGCCATACAATATTATATTAGTTTCAGGTGAGCAACACAGTAATTCAACAGTTGAAATAGTTTGAGAAGGAAAGATAGTAACTCTTCTTTAAATGTGTGATAGAATTCCCCTCTGTAGCTGTCCAGTCCTGGACTTTTCATGGTTGGGAATTTTTTGATTGCCACTTCAATTTTGTTACTCATAATCAGTCTGTTCAGATTATCTATTTCTGATTCAGTCTTGGAAAATTGTATGTTTCTAGGGACTTATATGTTTCTTCTAGGTTATCCAGTTTGTTGGCATATCATTTTTTATGGTGGCCTCTTATAATCCTTTATGTTTCTGTGGTGTTGGTTGTAACTTCTCTTTCATTTCTGATTTTATTCATTTGACTTCTCTCTTTTTTTTTTTTCTTAGTAAGTCTGGCTAAAGATTTATCAATTTTGTGTATCTTTCCAAAGAACCAGCTCTTGGTTTCACTGATCTTTTCCCTATTGTTTTTTTAGTCTCTGTTTCATTTATTTCACCCTGAACTTTATTATTTCCTTTCTTCTACTAATTTTGGGTCTGTTCATTCTTTTTTCTAATTCCTTTAGATGTATAGTTAGATTGTACATTTGAGATTTTTCTTGCTTTTTTCTTTTTTAAGTAGGCTCCACCCCCAATATGGGGCTTGAACTCATGACCCTAACTCTACCAACTGTGCCACTCAGGTGCCCCAATTTTTCTTGTTTCTTGAAGAAGGCCTGTATCACGATAAACTTGCTTGTTAAGACTGCTTTTGCTGTGTCCCAAAGATTTTGGAACTTGTCTTTCCATTTTCATTTGTCTCACGGTATTTTTTTATTTCCTGTTTGATTTCTTTATTGACCCATTTGTTGTTTAATAGCACGTTGTTTAGCCTCCATGTGATTTTTACCATTTTTTTCTTGTAATTGATTTCCAGTTTTATACCATTGTATAATTTTCTAGATATAAGTGATTTTACTACTTTTTCTTTTCTTTAACCTTCATACTAGCTTTATAAGTGATTGATCTACTATTTATATTACATGTTGCTTTTACCAGTGAAAATGTTTTTTTCATAATTTGCTTACTTCTAGTTGTTGCCTTTTCTTTTCAACTTAAAGAAGTCCTTTAACACTTCTTGTAAGGTCGGTGTAGTAATGATAAGCTCCATTAACTTTTGTTTGGGAAACCTTTTTAAGATTTTATTTATCTATTTAGTTGAGAGAGAGCATGCAAGCAGGGGGAAGGAGCAGAAGGAGAGGAACAAGCAGACTCTGTGCTGAGCACAGAGCCCAGCACAGGGCTCTATCCCACGACCCTGATATCATGACCTGAGTCGCAATCAAGAGTTGGACACTTAACCAACTAAGCCACCCAGGCGCCCCTGTCTGGAAAACTTTTTTTTTTTTTTTAAGATTTTTTATTTATTTATTTGACAGAGAGAGACACAGCGAGAGAGGGAACACAAGCAGGGGGAGTGGGAGAGGGAGAAGCAGGCTTCCCGCGGAGCAGGGGGCCCGATGTGGGGCTTGATCCCAGGACCCTGGGATCATGAGCTGAGCCGAAGGCAGATGCTTAACCGACTGAGCCATCTAGGCGCCCTGGAAAACTCTTTATATCTCCTTGCCAGGTAGACTATTCTTGGTTGCAGGCTTTTTTCTTTTTAGCACTTTGAATATATCATGCCACTTTCTTCTGCCCACGAAGTTTCTGCTGAAAAAATCAGCTCATAGCCTTATGGGTGTTTTCCCTTGTATATAACTATTTGCTTTTGTCTGGCTGCTTTTAAGATTCCTCTTTATACGTAATTTTTACTATATATATATATTTAACCGTATATATACAGTAAAACCATACCAAGACATGTAATATGTCTTGGTATGGTTCTCCTTGATTTATCTCGTCTGGGGCTCTCTGTGCTTCTAGAAACTAGATGTCTGTTTTCTTCCCCAGAGTAGGGAAATTTTCAGCCATTATTTCTTTAAATAAGTTTTCTGCCTTTTTCTCTTTTCTCCTTCTGGGACCCCAATAGTGCAAATATTAGTGTGCTTGATGTTGTCCCAGAAGTCCCTTAACCTGTCCTTTTTTAAAATTCTTTTTTCTTTTTGCTGCTCAGCTCAAATGCTTGATACTACCCTATCTTCCAGATTGCTGATCCATTCTGCATCCTGTAATCTGCTGTTGATTCCCTTTAGTGTATTTTTTCATTTTAGTTACTGTACTCTTCAACTGTTTTTTGTTTTATGTTTTCTGTCTCTGCTGAAATTTTCACTAAGTTCATCCACTCTTCTCTCAAGGCCCCTGAACATCTTTATGACCATTATTTTGAAACTTTATCAAGTAGATTCTTTATCTCTGTTTTGTTCAGTTCTTTTTCTGAGATGTTGTCTTGTTCTTTGATTTGGAGCATATTCTTGTCTCCTCATTTTTGTTTTTGTGTATCAATTAAGCCAGACTCTCCTGGTCTTGAAAGTAATGTCCTGTATGGAACGCATCCTGGGGGTAATCCCTAGTGCAATCCCTTCTGGTCACTAGAATCAGGCACTCCCAGGGTATCCCCTGTGTGGTCTGCATGTGTCGTGCTGTTGTGTCTGGGCTGTGACTACTATGGGCGTGTTGGTAGCTGGCTGCTAGGCCCACCTGTGAGTCTTGTGGGTGTGTTAGTGGGCAGCAGTGACTTTGAGTGGGGGCGGGCACCAGTTCCCACTGAGGTTGCCTGCCAGGTGTGGTGGTTAGTACCTGCTTGGAGGGACATCTTCTGGGTTGAGTGTGTTGAGCCAGGCAGGTCTGCAGGTGAACGCCAGGGTGGGGCAAGCAGTACTAGCAAGGTAGGGTGGGTGTCAGATCTTGCTCCCGAAACATCTAGGTAGCAAGGAGGGTGTCAGATCTTGCTCCCAAAGCATCTGGCTAACTAAGCTGTAGAAGTACAAGAAAAATGGCACTTGCTAACATTTCCATTCCCAGAGAAAGTTCCTACAGATCCCTGCGCCTCTGGCACACACCCAAAAATTAGTCATTAAACCTCCCCCATGTATGACCCAGGAGCTTTTCCAACTGCTGCCTCCATGCTGGGCTCCAAGTGACTGATACTGTGTGTGGGCCCCTTGAGAGTAGTGTCTCAGTTTATTGTAGCTCCCGGGCTCTCCTAGAGTTAAGCTCCACTGATTTTCAAAGCCAGACAATATGTGGCCTCATCTTCCCAGTGAAGATCTCCAGGCAGGGGCTGTCTGCTGTGGGACTTGAACCTCTCGCTCCTCAGGAAGGACCTCCACACCTGTGATAGCCTCCTGCTTGTGGGTCACTGTGCGTGGGTTTGGTTCTGGACAGTCTCTGCCCCTCCTGCCCTCCTCAATGTGGCTTTTTCTTTATATCATTAGCTATGGAATAGCTGTTCTGCTAGAGTTTAGGTTCTCAGAGTGAGTTGTGCTGTACATAGTTGCAGCCTTAGTGTGTCCACAGGAGGAGGGAAGCTCAGCATCTTCCCTTCTCCCAGGCGAGATGTTTTTAAAAGAGCAAATTTATTCCTTACTTCCTGACATTTTTCTGTACTTTGGAGAGAAGTCTGTAATAATCCCATCCCACTCAGGGTTAAAGCAACAATTGTGGTTTATATCCACTACTACCCTGAATGAGGCTTGGAGCCCCTTGGTTAAAGCTTTACCAAGCTCGGGCACCTGGGTGGCTCAGTTGGTTGGGCGACTGCCTTCGGCTCGGGTCGTGATCCTGGAGTCCCGGAATCGAGTCCCGCATCGGGCTCCCTGCTCGGCGGGGAGCCTGCTTCTCCCTCTGACCTTCCCCCCTCTCATGTGCTCTCTCATTCTCTCTCTCTCAAATAAATAATACATAAAAAAAAAAAAAAAGCTTTACCAAGCTCTGAGACTTCGCTGCAACTAAATCCTTCATTCTTCCTCCCCCTTGCAGGTAGCAATGAAGTGATGAGGATGCTGATCTCTCGAAGCCTGTTTCAGGAGTAGCACCCAGACTTGATGTTCGGGCGTGATGGTTAATGTACACCTCGAATCAGAGGTTTCATATGGACTGCAGATGAGTCATGGATTAGATTGAAGGGCTGAGCTCTTCCAGGTGGACCCAGAGCGTTGGGAGCAGCATCAGCTATAGGACTGGGACAGAGTCCTCAGCAGAACTAAAGGAGCTGCCCTGATTGAGATTGTCACAAGAAGACACACTACCTTGTTTTCCTAATGCAAAAAGGTGACCAGGGAAGACTCACCACCAAGTCAGAGTCCTTTCTTGGATACATGTTGTCTTGATTTGTCTGCATTTTGGTGGTTCACTGAATCTCTCTTCCGAAATCTGAACCCTTCCATTGAGAGTTTTTCCTGATGATAAAGCAAAGGTGTGGGAAAGGAGAAATGGAGGAAAAAATGCTCTCCTATCTTTTCCTGTGCTCTGCTAAAGATGCAGAAGGTTTCTGTGGGTTGCATTTCCTTTGTAGTACTCCTGTGAATGTAAATCATGATAAAATGAGTATTTGGGAAACCTTACTCCTAGGTGTGATTTAGGGTATATCTGCACTTGTACACTTTCTGAATATAAAGGGCTGAAGTTATTTGGAACTCTGAATGTTTGTTCTTTTCTTTTTTAGAAGCATGTGGTCTAAGAATGGTATTCAAGCTTCTATAGCCCTTCCTGATAAGTACTTTGAGCATATTTTCTTTCTATCTGAGTGCAAGGAAATGATAGGCATATAGAAGAGAGAGAGTTATCTGGCAAAAGTGATAAAGTAGGAAGGGATTCATAAAGAAGGTAGAAATTAAAATTAAACTTTTATGAAAATGTGTAATATGTAAAGAGAACCAAGAAAGTCAGTTTCAGACGGGGGAACGAGGGGCAGGAAAAGTGCAGAATTGGTGTGGGAGCTGTTTGCAGCTTTGTTTTGTTGTGCTTTGGGCTTGGCATGGGATGGAAAGAAAATATAAGTTGAATCTGGATGGAGAGTTGATGGAAAGTTATGAAAGCCAAAGTGTGGGTTTTATTTCATAAGTAGTGGAGAAGATGAGAAGAGTTTTAATGAAGCTATGATGAGATAATTTGTTGATAAGAACATTCTGGAAGGCATATGCAGGATGAATATGAGGAGGGGAAAGACAAAGATAAGGCATGTCCAGTCTGTAGGTTCTGGAAGTAATTAAGGTCAGAGGCAATTCGAGCCTGAACTTGGAAGGTAAAGGAAAGAGGATGTAAACAGATACAGACCCATGCTTAGAATGTTTGCTATGGAACATGAAGGTCTCCCTCGTAATTGGGCTGCTTTCTAGCATTCACTTCTGAGGCTTCTGTTCAGATTTGAAGCAAAAATAGGTATTATATTAATGTCTTACTATTTGTGTCCCTCATAAGAGACTAATGAAATGCCAGTTATTACAAATGCAATTCACTCTGTCACCCTCCATTACTATTCAGAGTTCAGTTCCCCAGCAGCCTAGCAAGGGATTTGACCCCTGTGGCAAGAACGTAGGGACATTCAAGCTAATCTCTATCACTGTTTATTTGGCCATTCCATAAATGAAGCCAAAAGGAGCAGAACAAATATGTCTTAAGGAAAACCTCTATGCCAAGTACTAACACATTTACAAAGTGCGCTGGGGCACAAGTAGTCTTGTGATCCTAACATGATGACCTCAGTGAAAAGTGGATTTCTAAGTTGTCTTCATAATCTCTTTAAACTATATTCCCTTATAATACTTTTACAGTTGAGGGGGAAATCTAATTGTTTTGATTATATGTCCCTTTAAACAGAGGGATGTTTAAGTCACCCATTAAAATTTTCATCCTTTGAAGATTCAGTAAATTAGAAATATCTTATTTACTTATTTGCTTTAGTGCTTATCTGGTTATGCTTTTATTTTAAAAACACTAGGACTTGTCCAAAGTAGTTTCCTGCGGATTATCTCCTATATCTCATGATTTTCACAAGGAGCTCCTTGCATGAATAGGTACTTGAGATACTTGTTGTGTTAAATTGATCTGAATTGAATTAACAACCCTGATGAAAACAGCAACTGCCAATGTTACTGTTCAGTTATGAGACTGGACTATGGATTCAGGCTCCCATATCTGGATTTGATTGCTAGCTTTATTCACTAACCATGTGACTTTAAGGAAAAAAACACTTAAACTCTCTGTGCCTGTTTCCTTAAATTGTAAATTGTGTGTATGTAAAGTGTAAATTGGAGATAATAAGGATCCCTGCCTCATAGGATAATTGGTGAGTCAAGTGAAAGAATCCATATAAAGGGCTTTGAACAGAGTACATTAAGCAGTCTCAAATATTAGTATTATCAATTTCATTTTATAGGTGAGCATAGTGAACTGTAAAGAGATTAAGTGACCTGCTCAAACTTACACAGGTGGCACGCTGAAGGGTTAAGACACATCTCTGCCAAGAACCTTTAAAAAGTTAGAATCATGACTACTAGTCATTTAGTGCTGAATACCAAATAGTTCTGGTCTACCTCTCTTCCAGGTAGGTAAGTGGCAGGATTGCATTTTCCCTTTGCCAACTTTACAGAAACGTATACGTACATAAACAGATTTCTAAGGTTTCTCCCAGGATCTTAGAAGGGACCCAGAGCTTAAGCTTCCTTAGTTTCACAGTAAATTTCCTATTGTCTGTCCTCTCTGCTTTATCTGAACATCTCCATATATATTCTTCTACCCAAAATTTGTTTCCCATTTGGCACTCAGGCTGTTATGCCTAGGAGTTATGATCAGCCAAACACCATATGAATGAATGCTCTCCTTTTAAGCGTGAGCAGGTGAGGAGTGCCTGCCACAGTGTCATGACAAACACTGGAACAGCATGGGTCCCTGCGTCCCCACTCCAACAATTCCCAATTAGTGATTCCCATGGGAAGGAAGAGAGGAGGATCCAAAGAAGCCAGTTAAGTGGGAGCCCAATGGACAAGTTTTTCCAATTAAAATCCAGTCTCCTGCTTGGTGGCCTGTGGCAAGGACTGCCTGAGAAGGGAAAAAATGAGCCAGGATAGACAATATTCTTTCATTGCTTGGAATGGAGCAAAATCCAACACCGCTAGTAGGACCCCAAAAGCTTTTCCCTCCTGCTCCAGGAGGACTCAGATTTCTCTCTGTTACTTGTAACTGAGGGTAGTGGTAAGTGTGCACTCAGGTCTTTTTACTTTTTCCTCCTGTCTACTTGTCTTTTCACCCGGTTTCTTGATCCAAAGCCCAGGACATTCTGGATCAGGCAGAGCAACTAGAATATTCACTTATATCACCACAAACAGAAAGGAATCTTAGCTCTCTCTGATCAGGCATTCTTAATCCCCACAGAACAGAATGAGGGGTTGCCAGTTCTCTTCACAGCAACAGAGGAGGAAGGATATTCTGAGCCATCATGCTCTGGAAAAGAGGGGGGCCTGTGATTTATTTCCAGTGCAGTTCTACTCATGTTGGTTTGGTTCTTTCCCCCGCACCCAACTTTAATATGGGCGTTATGGTTTCCTCAAGAGCTATATAAACAATACTCCAAGATAGTCCACTGGTTCCCTTCCCCAGCTGTCACCCAGATTGGGGCCCTGAGCTGCCCACACTATTCCGGCCTTTCTAAAGAAAATTTCAAAGTATCACTGGTTTCCATTTTTCCTTTAAACCAGTCTGTGGACTTGGGACGCCTGGGTGGCTCAGTCGGTTAAGCATCTGCCTTCGGCTCAGGTCATGATCCCAGGGTCCTGGGATCAAGTCCCGCATCAGGCTCCCTGCTCCGCGGGGAGCCTGCTTCTCCCTCTGCCTCTGTCTCTCTTTCTCTGTCTCTCATGAATAAATAAAAAAAAAAAAAATCTTTAAACCAGTCTGTGGACTTAATGGGCCATAAGATTCTTCCATCAGACTCAGGTTGTAAGTCAGAAATATATTGGATTCATCTCTTTATTCTTGGTTCATTCTTCACATATAGTAGGAGCTCAATGTTTTTTGAGCAGATGAAGACTGTAAAAAAGCCATCACCACCAATATGATACTAATTGTAGCTGCTGGCAAATACTTTTTAGGAATAGGCAAGACACACCATCAAAAGTCAGCTAACTAGATGCAAGAACTTGGATGGACCTCCAGGGAAGTTTGGTGAGTGAAAAGCAAACTCAGAAGGTTGTGTACTGTGTGATCCCATTCATATGGCATTCTTGAAATAATGCCATTATAGAAGTGAAAAACAGGATTGTGGTTGCCAGGGATTTGACTTGGGGGAGGGAAAGAGGGTCTATAAAAGAGGAGCCTGGGGGTAGGGGGTGAACCTGTGGTGGTGGCCACAAGTAAGTTTGCAACTCTCTCCAGAGTTTCCCAGGTATAATCTGAAACCAGCTTTGTGTAGGGCTGGGACAGACCAAAGAAAGAGGCTGGCCATTCCACGTTGGTAGGCTGCAGGGTTTTTTTGTTTGTTTTTAAAGGTTTTATTTATTTATTTGACAGAGCACAAGTAGGCAGAATGGGGAGCCTGATACAGGGTTCAATCCTAGGACCCTGGGATCATGACCTGAACCAAAGGCAGATGCTTAACCAATTGAGCCACCCAGGTGCCCCGGTAGGTTGCAGTTTTAATAAGCAAAGAGAACTTACATATGAGTCTTGTCTTGGTCAGCAGCAAGACAGATGCCTGCACCAGCCTGTTAAATCTTAAAAATTTTTAAAAAGGGAACCTCTTAAGTGCCCAGGTCCAGCTCTCTGGTCAATCAGTGGTCACATCTTTTTGATCAGGTTCTCCAACATCACACAAAACCACAGATGTGAAACAATTGCATAGAACTGTATACACATACATGCAAGTGAGCATGCACATAACTGGTGAAATCTGAATAAACCTCGTGGATTGCACCAATATCAATTTCCTAGATGCTACTGTTGGGGGTGGAGGAGTAAGGGGTACCTGGCCCTCCATACACTTTTTTTTTTTAACAACTTTTTGTGAATCTATAATTACTTCAAAATTAAAAAAATTTAAGTTGACCACCTGATGAGAGACTATACTTGCAGGACCTAGCCTTCCCCATCCCCTGCTATTGGTGGCAGCCCTGTATGGCCTCTACTCCTTGCACTGCAGTTCACTGAGCTTGGCTTAGGAGAGGGGATGGTGACAGAGGGTTTGAGCCAAGGGAAAGTGGGAAGACTGAGTGAACAGGGCAGTGGTGGGCCAGGTATTTAGATTGGTCTTTACTTTTCAAGCCAGTGGGTCTATGCCTGCAATTCAGGCCCTTGAGAGCAAGGTTCAAAAACCCCATGCTGTCCCCATCAAAATACCATCCACTTTTTTCAAAGAAATGGAACAAA